GTGTGTGTGTGTGTGTGTGTGTGTGTGTTCCTTTGTGCATCGGTGTGTGAGAGTGTGCCCTGACAGTGAGCTATAAAAAAAGAAGTGAGTCATGGAGCTCTGACAGTTGATCATCCTGTAATGCCTGATGATCCCCTGGGCGCCTCTCTTTACTTTCTCCTTCTCTACATATTATTCTTATGTTGCAGGATGCATGTGAACATGACCAACGTTTTAGGATAGTTATATTTTAAGATTTCTTAGTTTTCTAAAAGTGTGTCCTGTTGAGGCATGGTATTGTCCCTGTGGGCAAAGCAAAGTCCAAACAGAAATGGTTTCCTGGAGTTGGTGTAGAGCTTGTTGTCCCAACATGTTGGGGAAAGCCTGAAACAAGAAGGGTGGAGGCTAGAATGAGATAACACAAAGCCACATATCTAAGTATGATCCCAGTAATAAATAGACAACTTAGTGTACACATTTCTTACAATTTCAACAAAAACACAATAACATTTTGAAAGCCGTGAAGAATAATGGCACAACAGCTGCATTGTATTCCAATAGATTGTGTTTAATTTTCCATTATATGCTGCTGCATTATAAACTGCACATATACCCAACTGGGATTGAAAGTGAACTCTATGCTTTGCAGTGTTTGGCTGTCTCCTATTTAAAGCCGAGTAGAATATGTAGTTATGTAAACAGATGAGAAAATACTGGCTGGAACATGAGGAGCCACAACGAAGCAAATGGTCGGACACAATTTGGGAAGATAAACATTTTCTATATAAAATATTAAACCACAAAAAGAAAACAATATACATTAAGATAAAGCTGAACGAAACCTTACTTCATCTACTTTTATTTAATACTATTTTTTAACTACTTGTATTTTGATTAATCTTTTGCACCTTTTGATTGTAAGGGTGTGTTTAAAGAGTTGTTTAATGCTAACATTATTAATTATTTTCTGAGAAGTAACTCTAAAGGATATAAAGAGTATATTAATTTACTTTATTTTAAACGCAATCTCATTCCTCTCATAAGATAACTCTTCCCTCTCTTTAACTTCCCTTACTCTCGGCCTCTTTTCTCTTATTCTGTCATCAAAAACAGTATCTTGCATCTTTCCATCATCTCCCTCCCTGTCTACCCAGAGGTCAGCGTCAGAGTCTGTAATCAGTTTCAATATTACATTCTTCATCTCTACAAAGACTTCATTCAGCTTAGCTGGGGTATACTGTGAGACCATTGTCCTACGCTAAGCAGAGGAGCAGGATGATGATGCTGATGATGAAGATGCCCCCCATGGTGCTAGCATTAGATCTCCAGATGTCTGAGCAAAGTAAATGAGATAAATCTTTAACTCATCGATGTGTAAATGAATAAATCATCTTTAGTTAGCATGTCACATTTCATCCTTACCTCATCCCTCCTTTAGTCTCTTACTTACTCTCCCCACCTCTTTCCATTCCACTCTTTGAAGGTTTGAGTGTCATGTGTGGCTCAGTGTGCCAACCATAATTCTCTTCATTTATTCAGAGACGTCTTCCCAAGACCTTTACCGAATACCTTCCCCACTCTGGATGAATCCAAGCGCTTATTAACTGTGAGTTTTGACAGTAATAGATAGGAATTTTACAATAATATAAGGGATTATATTTCAAATGTTACATTTGGATGTGTGTAAAGTGTGTTTCAAGAGGGCCAGTGTGGTTTTGATGACTCCATTTTTCTACTTTTGCCCATAAACATTGAGACTGTAACGATGTAAGAGCAGCAGTGTGTGTGTGTGTGTGTGTGTGTGTGTGTGTGTGTGTGTGTGTGTGTGTGTGTGTGTGTGTGTGTGTGTGTGTGTGTGTGTGTCTGTGTGTCTGTGTGTCTGTGTGTGTGTGTGAGGTATGCCCACATGTGTACTATTCTTGACCAATGTTTTACAAGAGGCCTCACAGGTTCCTGGGTGGTCTAATTGCGTTTGCCACAGGACATTGGTGCACTTTACCACTGTGCGTGTGACTGTTAGATGTGTGTATCACTTTGTGCAGGCTTGCAGGTGTGTGTGGGTGTAAATCAATATCCTGGACAGAGACAGTACAGTATGTGAGGGTGTTTAATGACACTCACCTGTCATCGCTCTGTCACATGCTCTTTCTATGAATTTGTGTGCCTGTTTGCACAAAGATGTGCGACTTTTTTCCCCGTCATGATGTCCTGCGGGCAATTTTTTTAAGTGCTCTCCCTCTTCTTTACGACATCACACAGAATGCACTGGACCTGTGTGGCAATAATTGCTTCAACCAGATCACAAATCACCCATCTTGGCTTTTGTGACATGCTCTGAAGTATGCAGACAAGTACACACACTACACTTCTATCTGCACAAAAAGTCATATATCAAACAGCGGCCTGACTGAGCCTTGGCCCCGGGGCACCTAATCTACCTGCTCTCACACAAAGAGGCTAACGTTTGGTTTCTATTCAGATAGCTATGGTTACCTTGTTAGACATGCTACAAGAGTATCCAATTCCACTTAATTCTGATGGATGAAGTGCATTAGTTATGTGTCGGCGTGTGCCTTCATCATACAGGTGTTTTCTATTTTGTTGGTATGCATGGGTATGTTTTTGCTCTTTCTAGTGTGTCCCTGTTTATTTCTAGACTAACAGGGAGTGTAGGAGTGAGGTATGTCTGTCCCGATGTTGCCAATCTGTCTTCTGTTCCTCATTACATTTTCGGGAAAAGCCAACAACCTGCAGGGATAACGATGCAGTCAGGAGTTTCTCTTTTGGCAAAATAACTGCACTCAGAATATGAGTGCAGAAAGGTGGAAAGAGTAGGCCTCATTGTACAAAAGCATTTATTAAGAGGCGCTGGATTATAAACATGATAGCTATATTTCATGTTTATTGTCAGTACAGGAATAT